CAGGAATGTGTGTGCTAGCTGTGGAGATGCGAGTAGAGGAGAGGAGAGGAGAGGAGAGGAGAGGAGAGGAGAGGAGAGGAGAGGAGAGGAGAGGAGAGGAGAGGAGAGGAGAGGAGAGGAGAGGAGAGGAGAGGAGAGGAGAGGAGAGGAGAGGAGAGGAGAGGAGAGGAGAGGAGTGAAGCGGGAGAAAACCTTGATAGACAGGCCAAGCAACTGTGGATATCTCAACAACATCCTTCCGACATCTCCGTATGAAGCATTCAGCTAGAATGATCTCAGAACCGTTCATCTCATCACAATTTTTGAATGTTTTTACCCTCTGTGTGTAGAAGTCAACTTTCGGACGAAGGTTGATGGAGATGTTGAAGCCGAAGAGAGAGGGGTTGCTCGAAAGAATTGCGACAGCCTGGTTGAATGTTACGAGAGAAGAGGAGGAGGAAAAAGAGAAGGGAGGAGAAAATGGGAGGAAGGAGGGAGGAGGGAGGAGGGAGGAGGGAGGAGGGAGGAGGGAGGAGGGGAGGGAGGGAGGAGGAGGAGAGGAGGGAGGAGGAGGGAGGAGGAGAGAGAAGGAAGGACGAGACGGAGGATGAGAAGGAAGTGCAGAAACAGGAGATGAAATGAGGATTTCAACAAGATTACTTCGTCTTGACTCAAGAAAAGTTCATCCATCAGGAAATAAAGCATCGGGATCAACTTTTCCTCCAGACTTGACATGAGAACCTAGAAAGATGGTGGTGAAACAAGATCAAAACAGAATTTCAAAGTAATCAGAAAGCATTTAGGAAGACAAAAGACTTTCAAGGAAGCGAAACACGATGATGAAAGTGTCCATATCCCAAAGAGTTTGTTATGATGAGATGTAACGAACATGACACGCAAAGCAAGAGCAATCATCAAGAATCAGGATCAGCAGCACCTGAGGCTGTTTGACGACAAGATTTCTGATGCTCCGTTCAGAGAAGCCGAATTGAGATCTCAACCACTCAATCTTTCGATCGATGTTCTTGATGATGCTGAACGCCATTTCATATCAAAATCTCCACCTCCTCCGTTGCTCCTCCTGCCCCTGCCCCTGCCCCTCCTTCTCTGACGCCTCATTTCTGCTTGTACCTCCCTTACCCTGAGCTCCTTGTCGTCAGCTCCTTTTCTACACTGCATCATCATTCTAAACTATTGCTCGCTCTTCCTCCTGCTGCTCCTGTCGCCTCCTCCTCCTCCTCCTGCTTCTCCATTATCTTCACCTAGCGCACAGGATGGAAGGATTCTTCTGCATGACCTCGCAGAATCTGAGCAAGACGTCAAACGATGCTGATACAGCTCCTCTACTCACTCTTGTCTTGTCAAGAAGCCTTCTCGCACGAAGAAGTTAAAGTTGGGGATGATAGTCTCTTCGATACTGCAGCTCCTGTCAAACGAAAGGAAGGAGGAAGAGGGAGGAGGGAGAGGGAGTAGGAGGGGGAAACCAAGAAGATTGAGATGTCCTTACCTGAGGTAGAGGAGGGAGGGAGCGCGACAGAGAACGTTTGCGAGCCGCGGAGGAGAGATGCCTGAAGAAGTTGAGAGGGAGCGAGCAAGGAGCAAGAGGAGGAGCAAGAATGAGACCAAGGAGGATGGCAGAGAAAGATGTCGAAGGTGAGGAGGAGGAGAAGATGGGCAAGACGAAGGACACGCAAGAGGAGGAGGAGGAGGGGGAAGGACGATCACCGATGGAGTAAAGGAGACAGTGAGTATGAGGCCGCAGGACGCGATCGGGTGAGAGCGAAAGAATCTGAGGAGCTCGCTTGACGAGTCTGTGAATCTAGACGACGCATCAGATAAGGAGGAGGAGGCAGAGGGAGGAAGAGGAGGGGAAGGAGAAGGAGCAGGGAGGGGAGAAGCAAGGAGGAGGAGGTAGGGGAGTGAAAAGCTTCAAGGACCTGTGAGTCTGAGAGGTTCAATTCATCGCGCAGGAAGAGGAGGGAAGGCTTTATACTTCTTGTAATGTTGGAGCCCATGATCTGAGAGAGCAAGTGAGGAAACAAAGTTTCAATACAGAGGCAGGCAGGACGGAGGAAAGCGAATAAGAGCTTGTTGGAAAGAGAAGCTTCGAAGAGAACTGGTAAATGGAAACCTGAGGTGCTCTTTCGAATACTCTGACGATTTCTTGGTCTTGAAATCCTGCAATGAAACATGTTAACTCTGCAAACAGTCTTTCTTTGTTGATGACCGTAGCACGACAGGAGCTTGTCAATCTCCACAACATTGTCGGAGAGATTCTAGAGAACATGTCAAACTTGTTGCAACTCTCGAAACAAGTTGAGTTACGATGGTTGTGAGAATGTTGGGATTCTTCTTCAGCAACCGCAGCACATCGTTCTCTCCAAATCCCAATGCCTGTTCGGAGGGTATCAAGGCATACTTCAACACGAGTAGCAAGAGTAAGAGTAGAAGCAGGACGAACAGGAGCAGCAAGGAGGAAGAGGAGGAGGAGGAGGAGGAGGAGGAGGAGGACCTTTAGCCTCTCCATATTGTTTCTTGCGATCTCTCTGGAGCCGAACAACAAGATTCGTGGTGAAATCTTCAACAACTGCAGCAGGGCATCAAAACCCAGCAGACACTTAGCAGGTCGCACATTCAACGCAGACTTGTGAGGGATTCCTGTGTAGCAAACAAGATCAGGAGCCAAGCAGATCTTCTGACGTGCAACCTGCGTCGACGAGCCCATTGTATGTCGACCAAAGACGATAGCGACTGAGGAGAACACAGAAGATCAGAAGTCGTGACATACTGGCTAAATCTTCCTCTCTTCCTCCTCCCTCTTCGTTTCCTCCTCCTCGCCTGCTCCTTTTCCTTCTCATTCTTGCTCACCTTCTTGAAAGAAGGTATGGTTCCTTCTTCAACATCGCAACGCATTCTTTCTTTGAGTTCACAAGTAAATCACCAGAGCAAGAAAATCAATAAGAAGAACGGTGAAGAGGGGGAAAGGGGGGCGGGGGCGGGGGGCGGGGGGGGAAGAGAGAGAGAGAGAGGAGGAGGAGGAGGAGCAGCAGCAGCAGCTGCTGCTGCTGTAGCAGCAGCAGGCAGAGGAGGAGGGATTGTTGGAGGGGTAGGGCGGGTTGGAGGCGGGGGTGGAGAGTAGAACAGAGCAAGTGATTACCTTGGTGAAACCGATCTCCTCAGTCATCAACTCAATCTTATTCTGTATCGTCTCAATCTTCATGCACAAAATCCAGGGACATTTCTCAATCACTGCAAGCTGACCGTCAAAACGCTTTCGTGTTGGCAAGAATCTCCTACTCCTTGCAAAGTCACTCCTTGCAATCTTGAGGTTGTTGGTGAAGAATGCGGTGTTAGGCTGCAGGAGAGATGAGGTGAAGAATGGAAATGCAGAACATGTACTTCAATCTTGTTTTGAATGCTCGACGTCAAAATCATCGGGCAAGCCATCACGATTTGCTGTTGTAAAGTTCAAAACACACGTGAAGAAGTTTCTCGGCAGGAGAAGGAAGAAGCTGAAATGGGGGGAAAGACCAAGGGAACGGCGGGAGAGAATAACAGAGAAGGGAAGCAGTGTGGCAGACGAGGAGAGAAGGAGGAAGGAGGGGCGGAGGGGAGGAGGAGAAGAGGAGGACAGTAGAGAGGGTAGGTGAGGTAAGAAGAGGAGAGGAGAGGAAAGAATCGACACAAACGAAAAGAAGAGAATATGGCAAGGAAAGAGAGTGGTAAACAAGACAACAAAACCTTCAGTCGGCTTGCATCGACTCCGATCTAGCCAGCCAAAAGATCATGAACAAGATGATATCAAGATGGTTTACGTCTATCAGCAGGAAGTCCATCAACGGCATCAAATGATTGTCAATGCTGTTTGCAAAGATGCTCGGGTATCTGATCGACCACAGCTCAGCTCTCCTGTAACAACTCTCGAAGTTGCCTACCTGACAAACATTTTGCCGAGCTCAGCTTCTGAGATGCCAAAATAATTTTTGAAAATGAGAATCTGCAAATGACTCAACGCAAAGAACAAAAGGATTCCAAAGAAGAAACAGCAAGCACCTTGGGTTTTATGTTATTTTCCAAACTGTAGCTCAACAACTGCGGAAACATCTGAAAAATCCTGCTCATCTGGAAGGATTGATATCATTGGATTGAATCCAAACAATCTGCCATGATATATTTACATCTTTGATCGAAACATTGAACGTTTCTCGGAAAAACATGATCTTTGGCCTCAGATTTTGGTTCAAACTGCAAAAAACAACACTGCATCATGCCTGGAATCAATTTGACATCCTTCAAACCTCAATCCAAGAATCTGAGGAAAGGCTCCGATCGTCAACCCCAAGCTCTCACCTGATATACTGAGAAGAATCGTCAAACTCAGAAAAATCATCCAAACAATATTTCATCACTTGAGTTCACTGCTGAGGAACTGAACCTTGGGGCGCAGGTTGGACGTCACGTTCAGCGACATGATCTCAGTGAAGATGTCGGCAACATGCTGAAGCTTCTCCCGAGGAACTGCAACCTGGAGGGAAGAACGTGAGAAGTGTTGCCGGAGCGTCCTGTATGAGAAGAAGGATAATTAGAAACAATTCGAGATGTCCACCTCTTCCGCTATGAACAAGAACATCTCCCTCGGCCATCTGGTGCGCAAGAGCGTGAGCAGGTTATTTCTTTGTGCTCAAGAGACGTTTCATTCACCTCTGTCCCTTGTATGTCAAGAAGTTCTTGTCAAAGTCTGGAGCCTGGGAATGCAGGTTTCAAACTCGACATGTGCTGCAGCCCTCCGAACCTTCGCCCTCCTCCTGTGTTGTGTCACAGTCCACGATGCAGGCATCCTCCCCTGCAACACAAGTTAGCATGACTAGCCAACATCGACCTCGAGCTTTCCTGCTCGGGCAGCCTGCTTGCACGAAGGATTGTAGTATGGCGCGCCTGATAACCTGTGTCGGTTCATGTCAACTTTCTATCGGGAGGCAGCAAGACTCTCGCTCAGTACACACCAGCAGGAGGAAGGAAAGCTTTTAAGCAGAGCGAATGATCTTGACTCCGATGCATGCTCGGTAGTTGGAAGTTGCAGCGACTGGAGACAGGATAAGGCGAAGTTTGGCTGCCGGTGCAAGAGGAGGGTCCGAACGCTGTCCTCCTGCAGCGGAGAAAGGAGCCGATCCAGCTTCCATGGACGTCTATCTGTACGAAGGACCCGCAGGACTCGATGAGCACGAGCAAGATCGCTACCCGCCCTCCACATCGCCCCTGCATCCCCATCGTCGATCACTCCTGCATTACTGCTGATTATAAAAGTTTGCGCAGTGGTGCAAAGCAGCTCGCCTCACTGAAATGAATAGAAATGATTAGAAGGCAGAAAAGTAATCATAGTAATTCAATCTGTAAACTTAGGATAGAAGAAACGGGGCCGCCGGGGGCTGTACGCTCAGCAAAGAGAGGGAGGGAGGGGAGAAAGGAGGGAGAGGAGGAGGAAGGGAGAGGAGGGAGGGAGAGGATGGAGGGAGAGGAGGAGGGAGGGAGATGAGGCAGGGAGGCAGGGAGAGGAGGGAGTGGATGGAACTTGAGTGAGAAGAATGCTAAGAGGGAGAGAGAGCGAGAGCGAGAGATGAGGGAGAGGGAGAGGAGAGAGGGAGTGGGGAGAGCAAGAGCAAGAGCGAGAGAGAAGTAGGAGGAGGGTGGAGAGAAACCGAGTATTTTTTATTTGCTTAAAGATAACCAAACAGCAAACACGTGGGACGGGATAGCCATTGTTGTATGCATGTTCCAGGATGGATCTCTAAATCTTCATACATGTACAAGTCTGATTGACTGGTTGCTTCATTTATGATGCTCTGTGAAACAGAAACCTCTCTGTCGTTGTGTCACTATTACATGCTTCATACTTACAACTTGTCACATTGACTCTCTCCTTTACTCCTCTTGCCTCACTTTATACTAAAGTTTCACGGCGACTACTTCGGTACATTGGATTATGTGGCAAGCTAGGTTTGTCACTGTGCAAGTTTGTTGCCATCACACATCATCAAATCTTGCATAACTAGTTTCTCAATAAATCTGCTTCGAAGCACGGATCATGCAACTTTCACTCCTGCACTGGCAGCCTGTAGAAGAAGGCTTGGTGCTCTCTCTCTCTGTCTCTCCAGCACTCGTCGAGCCGTCACTCTGAATGTGGAAGAATGGAACTTTCTGAGACGACGACGATTATATCCGGGCCTAGAGCAGCCGTAAGGACTGACAGGACTGTGAGGGGTTTCAGACAAGTTCTCGAGCAGGTAACATGTAGATGATCATCTTTGTGAAGTTTCGATCAACGCAGGATCGAAACATCGTCACCAGGAGAACAACAGGTGTTTTTTGACCAGCGAGTTCGAATTTGACCACCACTTGGGAAAAAAAATGATAAGTTGGTACCGGGAGTTTTATAATCTTTATATAATCGGAGGAGAGGAGGGGGAGGAGCGGGAAGAGGTGAGGGAGGAGAGAGAAGAGGAGGAGAGACTGTTCCCTTGTCCCTCCTTCTACCTGTCGAGATGGATCCCAGTCAAGTCAAGCAGCCTCCTCCCAAGCTCATCTACAAGGACGGCAAGCTCGTCCGAGCAAACCTCCTCTGGGAACCTAGTAGCTGGTTTTCCAAGGAAGGCAGCGGCATTGTCGTACCCATACCCGAAGAGATCTTTCAGACCGCAATGAATCGAAACGACTTGGATACTGTACTCAAAGAGCTGGAGGAGGTACGGAAGAAGCAGCCGACGTCCTGCTATCAGTTCACTACTTCCATGCTCATCTTTCCTTGCATCATCATTCCTGGCGTGTGCTGCATTCAAAGGATGCGCGTCAAGAATCGTGTGCTCAAGTATGATCGGGATCTCCGCGAGTGGCAAGAGCAGATGAACGCAAGGTACCTGAGATCCATCGGCTGCTACGTGAAGACCCAGTCCTGTGCTCGCCAGGTCGGGTCTGGAGAGCACTCTTACCGCAAGAAAGAACACTGGATCGCCATCGCTTTCACGGCAGAGGAGAGTCAAAGGCTCGCAAACGAGCCGCATGTATTTGGCCATATAGTGGATCTCACCTGTTGTGTTGGTGTGAAGGAGGAAGATATGTGTATGCATCCGTTATGAGCTTGTTTGTTCTTTGTTGACTGACGACATGCTGCTGTGCTGTGATGATGATGATGACGACGACGACGGTGTGTCGTGAGTGGGGATGTCATGCTCGATGGATTTGACACTGAGCATAGTAAAATGGCGGAAATAAGAGTGAGAGGACTGCCATGTTTTTGACATGCTGAAAGTTTAAACTTGATGGCCTACAGTATTGCATTCAGGTAAAACTCTCCAAGGCGACGGATCTGTTGAGTTTGCATGCAACCATGAGCATCCACAAGTAAAGACAACATGTCCAATAGTACAAAAAGCATGTGTGTGTCAGGTACATTGGATTATGTGGCAAGCTAGGTTTGTCACTGTGCCAGTTTTTTGCCATCACACATCATCAAATCTTGCATAACTAGTTTCTCAATAAATCTGCTTCGAAGCACGGATCATGCAACTTTCACTCCTGCACTGGCAGCCTGTAGAAGAAGGCTTGGTGCTCTCTCTCTGTGGAAGAATGGAACTTTCTGAGACGACCACTATTATGTCCTAGAGCAGCCGTAATGACTGACAGGACTGACGATTATGTCCTAGAGCAGCCGTAATGACTGACAGGACTGACGATTATGTCCTAGAGCAGCCGTAAAGACTGACAGGACTGACGATTATGTCCTAGAGCAGCCGTAAAGACTGACAGGACTGACGATTATGTCTTAGAGCAGCCGTAAAGACTGACAGGACTGTAAGGTGTTTCAGACAAGTTTTCGACAGGGCGTCGGAACACCTCCTCACCCATCACATGACCTCTGAATCCAGGCTCCCCCATCTTCCCTCCAAGTATCAAGACGACAGCTCAAATCCAAGGTTGACTTGCCTTTGAAGTCCGAATGTGCTCAAGTCGCACATGCTTTGCTCATGGGTTGACTATCCCGTCTCGGACTTGCACTGATCCGTCACAGCCTTGCACTCCAGCTTGCAGCCAATTCACTGATGGTGGTGGGAACGTTATCATCAGTGATCAATATGCAGCATCACGATGTGGCCAATGCCAAAGAAGTAACATATCTCCAATCATGATAACCCCTGAGCTTCAACCTCCATGTCAGCCACCTCATTCGCCTTGATGATCATGAATCGGTAACACCCCTTGAAGGCTCTTTCAAGAATTGCTCAAACCTGACGATATGCAATACTTTGCAATATGGTTGACACGCAACGTTTCTGTTGGAACATAACATGAATCCAGTGCATGAAAATCCATAATGCCGTACATGACAATATGCACACCACCGATCATGTTTAGCATGTCATCAAGACAGTGATTGATGCGAATATCTCCTCCATCACCATCATGGCAGATGGCAGCTCATACTCACCACGGCATCTCACAACCTCAACTCCAACAAAGCATAATCCGGCATCCCTTTACTGTCATAATTCCCACAACACCCTTGATTTGCAGTGCAGTATGATACCTGATCAACTGCATTATCTGTTGCTTTCATTCTCATCATCCTCTCACATAGAACTTGAGTGAGTGTACCATCACAACCTGCCATCGCTTATTTCCTCGTAGCGAGACTCATCATTTCCAACATTCCATTTCCACATTAGGGCTTAACACGCATGTATCAACTCAACAATGATTTCATTCAGGAACGAACTGTACATGCTCTACACTACGTGCTTTGGAAAATGTCTGCACGATATTCCACCAAGTGCTTGTAGTATGTGATGTATGAGTATTGCGAGTACCTCTTTCTCTGTGCCATCGCCGTCCATGCATCTTCTCCGTACGCCCTTTCCACCAGTGTACGGAAACCAGTTCTGTAACATTGACAGAAGTTGTGAGGCATAATTACCTCGCTTCCTTGCAGTACTCCTTGCTCTCGGCATATATCTTCCACCATGGTCATCACATAATATGCTTTGTACACATTCTTCCTCGTGTTCTCATCATTCGACACGTCTGCGGAGAAAGGAAACTTACTTAGGTGCTTTAAGGGCCGAATCCTCCTCACTTGTCCTTGCACGATGACATCTTGCCCCAAATTCCACCACATGAACATATTTCGAACTCTGCAACGCAAAGGAAATGGCCAACCCAACGGGACCATATGTCTGCCAGGCCCCCATCCTTCCCATTCGAAGTCATCCCCTCCAACTTGTACCTCACCGTTGCCATCATCCCCCTGTCCTAGTGATGAAACCAGCACCGCGTTCCTCTCCGGTGTCGCCTCCCTGCTCACTTCTGCACCCCCTCCGATTCACTCTCATTCAATCTTCCATTCGAGCCAGCATGTGACATCACGTTGCTCACCCCATGTGCCATCATACCATGGCCTGCTCCATCCAGTACCATCTGTCGCATAGCTTCCCCCACGGCGGCCTGCACCTGCTCCCGTATATGACCACCCATCTGTTGCATGACGATGCGGAAAGCATCTGTGAAGTCCATGCTTCCAGATGCAACTTGCCCCCCACTGGGACCTGGTACATCCCTCCTCCGTCCAGCAACAAAACCTAAATTCGTTCGCAGTTCGTCCCTCATTACAGTTTTGAGATCGTCAAACTTCTGGTCCAGTATTTCCTTCATTCCATTCATCTTCTCATCCATCGTCTCCTCGATTACCTTCATCTCCTCCTTGATGGCATCCCGCACTTCAACCCTCATCTCTTTCACGCCTTTCAATATTTCTGTATTGGTTGGAGTAAGATACTTGCAAGGAAGAAGCGGATACACTTTTGAAATCCTGCCGGGAAACTGCTGTAACCTGATATGAACCTCTCCCAGCCGATCTCTTCTATTTGCTTCAATCCTTCCGTTGTGAAGTGGGGGGGAAGTACAGCAAAGTCTGCTGTTCCGTTCTGCCTTCATGCTTATCCCCGTTCTGCCTTCATGAATGCGCATCACTCCTCGAGATTTCTTCTCTGTAACTACTTTCGTGTAAGACTCCATGCAACGTTCCAACACCTCGTCTATACACACTGCTGCTTCTCCTTCTGGCATGTCCCTAGCTACAAATTCCATGTGTCTACATTGGTACAGGTACTTCAACGCACCTTTGTACCCTCGTATCGTAGACACTGCTACTGTCGGTTTGTCCGCTGCACTGGTTACAAAATTCACGTCTTGAATGCCAGTGGGTCCCACTACCAATTCAACATCATTGCTGGTGGTGCCTGCTTGTTCTTCAACGTCATCATCCATCTCAACATCATCATCTTCATCTTCATATGAAGCATGCGACTGTGATGGGCCTGCTTCATCTTCGGCTTCATCATCGACTTCCACGTGATCGCCATTGATCTGCATGTTTGGGTGAGTGCCCTTCTTCATACGTTTCGCTTTTGATTGCTTGATCTTATCCCTGACCCGCTCCTTTTGCGACAAACAACCGAAGAATGCTACTAATGCATCGTATGGCAATGGCAAAACGAGGTCGTCCAAGGTTTCATTCAGAGCTGCATGATATCGTGGGTGAGACCTGAAGAAAGCTATGATAGCATGAATGCGGTATGCGTAGTTCCTCTGCGTACTGGGACTGACCACTTTTGACTGCAATTCTCGAAATGCCTGGATGTTCATATCAAGTCCCCCTGTACCAATGACCCTGCGATCCTGGAAGACATGCAACAATTCTTCGTCAGTGCGAGCACTGACCCGCCGTTTATTCGAAGGTCTACTTTGAGTCACGGTATTGTTATGGGCTCCTCGGTTGCATTGCCCACAATAGTTCATATCATCTGTGCCTTTCAGAGTACTAGCACAAAGATGATGGAAGGGTTTGTTGCAATACTGGCAAACTTTCAACTGAGCCTCAGGTTGATCTCGCATAACACATGAGGATTCATACCAGCATGTCTGCCCAGCTGGTGCCGACATTGTTTGCCAGGATGCAAATGTTCTCCCTGATATGGGTACTTACGATTGTGGTGGAATCTGTGAAATTCTGTGTCCTTGGCACTGTTCACTCTGATGATTATCATGGCGACGAGGAAAGATGCTCAGTTTTCCCCTTGTCTGATCGCTTCTGCTTCTACAATGGCCATCCAGACCCGGTAGAGTGCGACCCCATGGCATGAACTCGTATAGAAGGACCGGGTCATTGGTCACAAATTAACCCTACCCTTGTGTCGCGCCCTTTTTTTTTGCGCCCTCCCGTCTAAAATACAAATAAGTTTGCGCAGTGGTGCAAAGCAGCTCGCCTCAATGAAATGAATAGAAATGATTAGAAGGCAGAAAAGTAAAGGGAGGGAGAGGAGGGGATGGAGATGAGCCAGGGAGGGAGGGAGAGGATGGAGAGATGGAGGGAGAGGAGAGGATGGAGGGAGAAGAGAAAGAAGGGAGAAGAAGGATGGATGGAGCGAGAGGAGGGATCGATGCATGGAGAGTGAGAATGGAGGGAGGGAGAAGAGGGGAGAAAGGAGGGGGGAGGGGAGCGAGGGAGGGAGGGACGGATGGAGAAGAAGGATGGAGGGAGGGAAGGGAGGGAGATTAGGGAGGGAGGGAGCGAGAGGAGGGAGGGAGGAAAAGGATGGGTGGAGGGGTGGAGGGGAAGGAGGGAGGGAGAGGAGGGAGGGAGATGAGGGAGAGGAGGGAGTGGATGGAACTTGAGTGAGAAGAATGCTAAGAGGGAGACAGAGGAGAGAGAGGGACGAGGGAGAGAGCGAGAGCGAGAGATGAGGGAGAGGGAGAGGAGAGAGGGAGTGGGGAGAGCAAGAGCAAGAGCAAGAGCGAGAGAGAAGTAGGAGGAGGGTGGAGAGAAACCGAGTATTTTTTATTTGCTTAAAGATAACCAAACAGCAAACACGTGGGACGGGATAGCCATTATTGTATGCGTGTCCCAGGATGAATCTCTAAATCTTCATACATGTACAAGTCTGATTGACTGGTTGCTTCATTTATGATGCTCTGTGAAACAGAAACCTCTCTGTCGTTGTGTCACTATTACATGCTTCATACTTAGAACTTGTCACACTGACTCTCTCCTTTACTCATCTTGCCTCACTTTTTACTAAAGTTTCACGGTGACTACTTCGGCACATTCGATTATGTGGCATGCTAGGTTTGTCACTGTGCCAGTTTGTTGCCATCACACTTCATCAAATCTTGCATAACTAGTTTCTGGATAAATCTGCTTCGAAGCACGGATCATGCAACTTTCGCTCCTGCACTGGCAGCCTGTAGAAGAAGGCTTGGTGCTCTCTCTCTGTCTCTCTAGCACTCGTCGAGCCGTCACTCTGAATGTGGAAGAATGGAACTTTCTGAGACGACGACGATTATATCCTAGAGCAGCCGTAAAGACTGACAGGACTGACGATTATGTCCTAGAGCAGCCGTAAAGACTGACAGGACTGTAAGGTGTTTCAGACAAGTTCTCGAGCAGGTAACATGTAGATGATCATCTTTGTGAAGTTTCGATCAACGCAGGATCGAAACATCGTCACCAGGAGAACAACAGTTGTTTTTTGACCAGCGAGTTCGAATTTGACCACCACTTGGGAAAAAAAATGATAAGTTGGTACCGGGAGTTTTATAATCTTTATATAATCGGAGGAGAGGAGGAGCGGGAAGAGGTGAGGGAGGAGCGGGAAGAGGAGGAGAGACTGTTCCCTTGTCCCTCCTTCTACCTGTCGAGATGGATCCCAGTCAAGTCAAGCAGCCTCCTCCCAAGCTCATCTACAAGGACGGCAAGCTCGTCCGAGCAAACCTCCTCTGGGAACCTAGTAGCTGGTTTTCCAAGGAAGGCAGCGGCATTGTCGTACCCATACCCGAAGAGATCTTTCAGACCGCAATGAATCGAAACGACTTGGATACTGTACTCAAAGAGCTGGAGGAGGTACGGAAGAAGCAGCCGACGTCCTGCTATCAGTTCACTACTTCCATGCTCATCTTTCCTTGCATCATCATTCCTGGCGTGTGCTGCATTCAAAGGATGCGCGTCAAGAATCGTGTGCTCAAGTATGATCGGGATCTCCGCGAGTGGCAAGAGCAGATGAACGCAAGGTACCTGAGATCCATCGGCTGCTACGTGAAGACCCAGTCCTGTGCTCGCCAGGTCGGGTCTGGAGAGCACTCTTACCGCAAGAAAGAACACTGGATCGCCATCGCTTTCACGGCAGAGGAGAGTCAAAGACTCGCAAACGAGCCGCATGTATTTGGCCATATAGTGGATCTCACCTGTTGTGTTGGTGTGAAGGAGGAAGATATGTGTATGCATCCGTTATGAGCTTGTTTGTTCTTTGTTGACTGACGACATGCTGCTGTGCTGTGATGATGATGATGACGACGACGACGGTGTGTCGTGAGTGGGGATGTCATGCTCGATGGATTTGACACTGAGCATAGTAAAATGGCGGAAATAAGAGTGAGAGGACTGCCATGTTTTCGACATGCTGAAAGTTTAAACTTGATGGCCTACAGTATTGCATTCAGGTAAAACTCTCCAAGGCGACGGATCTGTTGAGTTTGCATGTAACCATGAGCATCCACAAGTAAAGACAACATGTCCAATAGTGCAAAAAGCATGTGTGTGTCAGGTACATTGGATTATGTGGCAAGCTAGGTTTGTCACTGTGCAAGTTTGTTGCCATCACACATCATCAAATCTTGCATAACTAGTTTCTCAATAAATCTGCTTCGAAGCACGGATCATGCAACTTTCACTCCTGCACTGGCAGCCTGTAGAAGAAGGCTTGGTGCTCTCTCTCTCTGTCTCTCCAGCACTCGTCGAGCCGTCACTCTGAATGTGGAAGAATGGAACTTTCTGAGACGACGACGATTATATCCGGGCCTAGAGCAGCCGTAAGGACTGACAGGACTGACGATTATGTCCTAGAGCAGCCGTAAAGACTGACAGGACTGTAAGGTGTTTCAGACAAGTTCTCGAGCAGGTAACATGTAGATGATCATCTTTGTGAAGTTTCGATCAACGCAGGATCGAAACATCGTCACCAGGAGAACAACAGTTGTTTTTTGACCAGCGAGTTCGAATTTGACCACCACTTGGGAAAAAAAATGATAAGTTGGTACCGGGAGTTTTATAATCTTTATATAATCGGAGGAGAGGAGGAGCGGGAAGAGGTGAGGGAGGAGCGGGAAGAGGAGGAGAGACTGTTCCCTTGTCCCTCCTTCTACCTGTCGAGATGGATCCCAGTCAAGTCAAGCAGCCTCCTCCCAAGCTCATCTACAAGGACGGCAAGCTCGTCCGAGCAAACCTCCTCTGGGAACCTAGTAGCTGGTTTTCCAAGGAAGGCAGCGGCATTGTCGTACCCATACCCGAAGAGATCTTTCAGACCGCAATGAAGCGAAACGACTTGGATACTGTACTCAAAGAGCTGGAGGAGGTACGGAAGAAGCAGCCGACGTCCTGCTATCAGTTCACTACTTCCATGCTCATATTTCCCTGCGTCATCATTCCTGGCGTGTGCTGCATTCAAAGGATGCGCAGCAAGAATCGTGTGCTCAAGTATGATCGGGATCTCCGCGAGTGGCAAGAGCAGATGAACGCAAGGTACCTGAGATCCATCGGCTGCTACGTGAAGACCCAGTCCTGTGCTCGCCAGGTCGGGTCTGGAGAGCGCTCTAACCGCGAGATAGATCACTGGATCGCCATCGCTTTCACGGCAGAGGAGAGTCAAAGACTCGCAAACGAGCCGCATGTATTTGGCCATATAGTGGATCTCACCTGTTGTGTTGGTGTGAAGGAGGAAGATATGTGTATGCATCCGTTATGAGCTTGTTTGTTCCTTGTTGACTGACGACATGCTGCTGTGCTGTGATGATGATGATGGCGACGACGACGGTGTGTCGTGAGTGGGAATGTCATGCTCGATGGAATTGACACTGAGCATAGTAAAATGGCGGAAATAAGAGTGAGAGGACTGCCATGTTTTTGACATGCTGAAAGTTTAAACTTGATGGCCTACAGTATTGCAACCAGGTAAAACTCTCCAAGGCGACGGATCTGTTGAGTTTGCATGTAACCATGAGCATCCACAAGTAAAGACAAGATGTCCAATAGTACAAAAAGCATCTGAACGGCAAGTTTCGAGTGATCATGACAGCTGAACGCATCATATTCCAGCATCTGCCCAGAAGCAAAAAGCAAGGCGGATCGCTTCTCAGGGGGATTCCGGGGATCGAACCCGGGACCTCTCGCACCCAAAGCGAGAATCATACCGCTAGACCAAATCCCCGCCACATGTCCGTTAGGGATGATAATACAGTTTATATACTAGTTGATACATACCTTGCTATGACCTCCCTATGACTCGAACTATAGAAGACTATGCCCCCCTTATCACCCCTAGGGGACCCTGGCTAGGACCACCTTGTTGGTTTTTCTTGAGAAAGGGACCATATCATAAATCCCGCCATGGCCTGGGAAGGAGCAAGCGAACGGAGGGGAGGGGGGGGGGATAGTTAGGAGGGAGCGACGTTGATAAGCGGATAAGAGAAGATCAGAGGCATAGAACACGTCTCCCGTCGATAGAAGGAGAGAAAGATGTGTGTTTGTAGTAGTCATGGCTGGGAGCAAATGAGCTGTAGGGAAAGAATTCTCGAGTATATGAGGCAAGGACGAAGAGTAGGAGGAGGGAAAGGAGAAGGAGGAGCAGGAGCAGTGGGAACAAGAGGAGGAAGAGTAGGAGGAGTGCAATGGCACAGAAATCTTTGTAATGATATTGCCAAGAAGAGTTTGAGAATGATCGTTCTTTTCTTTTTGAGCTTGAGGGCAGAAGGGAGTTTGGGAGCGGGGGTGGGAAACGTGGCGCTCAAAATGAAACCCCCAGATGAAACCATCGGTGAACACAAGATCAGCTCTACCTGAAGAATACAAGAAGAAGTGATCTTTGCTGTTTTCTTATGTCCTTTTTGACTGTCTTGGCAAGGCGGAGATTGCTGGAGAAAGAGGAGTATGATAGGCTAACAGAAAGAAAACCTGGATTTCTTGATTGGTTAAGCGTCAAGCAACAACAATACAACATCACGAGGTTGAACCAGACGATGATGTCTTCTTCTGACATAACAGTGACAGTGTCCTGTACATGTTGGACTGGTGGGAGAGATTTTTGTTCAACATCTTTCTTATCAGGTGTCGTAGACTGTCTCCTGTTTTCGATTCTCTTACCTAAAAACTTGTTTTGCCTTCTTCGCTTCTCACTCGTCATTTTCCTTCTTTTTCGTTCTGTCACTCATCTTTCCCTTTCTTCCTTCTTTTCCTGACTGACATCTGCCACTCAGTGTCATGCTTGGAACCGTCTTTGCTATGTACATATACAGTCAGAGCTCAGGCCTGCTCCTTGCTCTTAGCATTTTGCTCATGGGTAACAATAGGAAGACCTTTCGTTTCTCATTCCTTCCCTTCCCTCCCTCCCTTCGCTCTCTTCTCTCTCCCCTTTCGCTCTCGCTCCCCTCCCTCCCCTCCTTTTCTCCTTTGTCGCCCTACCTCCCTATCCATCCTTCCCCTTCTCGCTCTCCCTCCTTCTTTCCCTTTCCTCTCTCGCACAGCTTTCTCCCTCCCCTCTTCTCGTCTTGCAATGTGACAGGACTGCAGGCATCGTGGTCTTGCTTTTGCTTCTTTGTCCTCTCCATCAGTACTAACCAACTAGTTCTCTGCGGTTTTAACGTGTGTTTGCTCATGGCATAGATCACTTTGAAACCTTTTGAATTCTTCTCTACTGAAAAAAGTTCTTGACAATGTTGAGCTTTCTCTCTCTCCCTCTCCCTCTTCTCTCTCTCACTCCTTCACTCCATCCCCCACTCCCTTCCTCTATTCTTACATAGATGCTCCCTTGTTCGCTCCCCGTGCTTGTCTTCTTTGCCGTTCACGATTTCTCTAGAGGCCCTTGGATTTGGCGCCTCCGCCTCATAGACCATCATTAGCCTCCTCGCCGTACAGCTGCTTCAGCACCTTCGACAGTTTCAGTTGCAAGGGAGGCCGCGAGGGGAAGGAGGGAGGAAGGCAAAGGAGGGGAGTGAACGGGGGTTATAGGTGTTCACACGAGGAGGAGGAAGGAGGAGAGAGGGGAGAAGTCAAGAACGGGGGAAACATGGAGGACAGTAGGTCAGGTGGGGAGCAGGTGGGCAGAGAGGTCAGGTGAGGAGCAGGTGGGGGGGAGAAGGCATTGAACCGGCTCGTATGCCTCTAGTACGCATGTCTGCATCGATTGAACTTCTTCAGAGGATAGAGGAGCTCCCTTGCGCAGCTTGCTGGCAGTTTTTCTGACAAGGAAAGAGTGAGAACGAGGCCTTGTGAATGGCAACAATGTGAGAGCTAAGGAGCGAGTAGGAGAGCCAGGATAAGGGCAGGGCAGGGCAGGGCAGGGCAGGGCAGGGCAGGGCAGGGCAGGGCAGGGCAGGGCAGGGCAGCGGAGCAGAGACAGGGGAGGAAGAGAGTTACTGCTTCCCCTTGGACAAGACCATGGAGCCGATCCCTCCCCCGCACAATCTGACAAACTTCTCGGCCTATCGGGAACAGGAGGCAGACAAGTCAAGAGGACTTCGTGTCACTTTTATCGTGTCAGGTTGTTCACCTGCAACTTCGACACTCCAGAGATGTTGAGCTGAATGATCTTTTCACTGCCATCTCAACATCAGTTTCTCCCTCAATCTCATCCCCGCTCCTTCCTCTCCCCTTCCTCACTCACCCCTTTCCATCATTCTCCTTCCTTCTCCCTCCATCTTCTTCCCCTCTACTTCCTCCAACCTCATTCAGCATCTTCCGCCTACACTTACCATGCGGTTTCGAACATTTGATCAGGAGGGAAGCAGCATCTGTCAGACAAGCTTCAGGCAAGAACTCATGCTCTCCATCTCTACCCTTCTCAAGACCAACTTGACCTCCATCATCATAGTCTCTGACCCTGCTGCTGCTCCTCCCCCTCCCCCCCCTCCTCCCTCTGCTCCTGCTCGCTCTGCCGCTCCTCCTGCTCCTTCTCCGCTCGTCCCCGCTGCGTCTTGCCTGCATCCTTTCGTCGGGTCGTGCGTCGTCGCTGGTCTCGTGAACGAGAAGGACGAGGAATTTGAGGTCTGCGACAGCCTGCCTGCAGCTGGAGATGGAAGACGAAGAGGGCAAGCGAGGGCGAGCGAGCAGAAGGCGGAGGTGATGAGGGGGAAGACAGGAGGCGATTGGAGGATAGAAGGGAAGAGAGAAGGGTAGGAGGAGGAAGGAGGAGGAGGGAGGAGTTTGGCAGGGGAAGAATTCAGTCAGCACCATTTGATAAACAATGATATTTTGTCTACCTTCAGCGTGAAGCTCGTCAACAGCTAGATGGAGTTGACAAGTGAGAAGGGTATGACAGATCACTTGCACGCACCGGGCCGATGATACAAGAGTTCATTGGTGTAGAGAAGGTCAGGCTGCTTCACTGCTCCTGCTCCTGCTCCTGCTCCTGCTCCTGCTCCTGCTCCCGCTCCTTCTCCCGCTCCTGGGAGGACAGCGCGGATAGGATCTGACATTGCCCAGTCCCAGAAACTATTCCATCTCCCCTCATCCATATGGCCCCAGACACATGTTCTTCCTGCTCCTGCTCCTGCTCCTGCTCCTGCTCCTGCTCCTTCAGTGTACAAAGATTGCAAGGCTGATAGACTGATATGAATGAATTAGCAAGGGAAGGTCTTGATAGAAGGAGGACGATGGAAAACGGGATGAGAGCCGCACACCTTTCGAGATTAAAGTCGACATTGCTCAGATCTGAGTGAAAATTTCCATCACATAGAGATTGTGCTGCCTGCAAACAAATGTGAGAAAAGGCAAGCACCAGCAACATGATATGTAACATCGTCGATATGCAGCAAAAGTTACAGTCACACATCAAAACAAGTCGACAGCTCCCCATCTCTCCCCTCTTCACGTCACCTCGTTTATATTGGCATGAATCCAATCAGCAGCTTCAGATGAAGCTTTCAGAAACTTTGAGGTCACTTTTGTTCCCTCCTCCCCTTGTAGCCGTTCTCTCTTCACGATGACAAGATTCATGTATCCAAAGGGAACCCCAAAGTCTTTCATCCTGTTTTAATTTCATCCCATCCCATCCCATCTCATCCCATCCCATCCCATCCCATCCCATCCCATCCCCCTCGCCGCTCCTACCTCTACCTCCTCCTCTCTCATCCTCCCTTTTCCCCTTCACCCTCACACCCCCGCTTCATGTCAACGCTCACCTGAACTCCCTTAGCTTCCTTCCCCTCCTCCTTGCTCGCAGCACCTCCCATGTCCTATACCTTACCACAGCCTGTCATCTGAGATAACCTCTGTCTTCTTCAGTCCTCACATCCACGCGCAGTCAGCCGATCCATCAAGCAGATTCATCTCTGTCTCTGTTCTCTCCTCCGGACAAACCTACGGCTCGTCAGCCTTCTTCAAACCACGCAAATGGTGCGTACTTCGATGATGCCTCCTCCTCCTCCATCGTTTCTGATCATACTGTTGACCTGAACGCGCATCATCAACCTTGCATAAACGAGCATGTGAGACAGACTGCAGCAGTTTCCAGAGGATATCCTAGACGAGCTGTCATCAGCGAGCAGCAGGACGAGATGAAGGAGCGAGGCATAATGGTTCGAATGACAGGATGCAGGTGAGAGAGCAGAAGGAGAGGGGAACGGGGGGGCGGGAAGCAAAGGAGGAGCGAAGGAGGAGCGAAGGAGGGAAGTGGAAGAGGAAGGAGGAAGATGGACGAAAGGGGAGAGAGGGAGGAAAAGTAAGGGTCCTTACCGCAAGAAGCGTATCTAGCATCAGACAAGAGGGAAGGTCTTGTGAAATTAGAATCTTCATCAACACAGACGGCTGATATGTCGACCTCATGCAAAGTGGCAACACAAACCTACGGCATGGCGTAAGATCTGACTGACTGGCAAATGACAATGAATGACATACAACTCTGTCTTCCCGCAAACTCTCGTAGAGAACTTGATCGCACGGGGAGATTCCAACCTCAGCAGCTCCGGCCACAACCGCATCCAACGGCGTCTTAGGGGCCCCATGATCTGCGGGAACAAGAACCATAAGACATGATGGTACCAAAGCTCTGAAGCACCCGTCGACCTGAGGGAGACAGGAATCGAACGTCGAGGCTCTCCCGAGCATAGAAGCCTTTGCTGGAAGCCAGGAGAAGAGCTGCCTGTTGATGGCAGCTGTCACAGACAGAGTGAAACTGCTGCATCCTCTTACATGTGTTGTGTTCGGTGTCCAATCCAACGCCACAGTTACCTAACATCAACCTTCAATGTTATGCCAACAGCCTAGTACTATCATGGGACTATGTTTTCTCTCTTGCTCACTCTCTGAAGCTCAAAATTCCTGCTAGTGACCCTTCCTACTCGATGTTGAAAGTGGCACCCCTGGAATGCCCCGCATGAATCTCCTCCGGATCCATCGATTGCTCTCCTAGCTCCTTGATCCTTGCGATGCTTGCTCCATCGTTGTTGCTCCCTGCTCCCTGATCCCTGATCCATGCTCCCTGCTCCCTGCTCATATCCTTGCTCTGCTTCTGCTCATACATTTTTTCTGTGTTTCGTCCTTCTTTCGCTCCTCCTGCTCCTCCTCATCTAGATGTACCTGCGCCATGATAGGGATCCCAATTTCGGCCCCCTCATCCCCACAAAGCCCTCATCCCCTCACACCCTTCACTACCTACCCATGACTTGCTCAAGTGTAAATTCAGTAAAAGGGACCCGTACACAAATAGGCCAAAGACTACCCCGTTGAATATCATCGCATGGGGTACTATGAAGGTTGGAAGGGGGGGTTAACTGATCGATGTAGTGGGTAGGGGGGCGATGGGGTAGTCAAGTTCTAGTTGCAGCACTTTTAAATAATTAAAATTGTAGGGAATCAACATTGTGGTACTTAAAGTTGAGGAATAATCTGTGTATAAAACTGTGAATAATGTTTTATAATACAATGTGCCTCTACTTAAAATCAATTGAGAAGATTTGGATAGAAAAGATTTTTCGTTGTTTTAAGCTTTTTATATCATTTTTTGACAGATTAGATTGGGGGGGTTGAAAATTGATAGCTACCGCAACAAGCAATTACAATAGTTTTAAATATATATGGTACAGAATGAACCTTTTTGTAAAATTTTACACAGATTTGTGAAGCAGTTTATAAGTACAATAACAAGTTTTATATCCTAAATCATTTTGGATAAAATTCTTTTGTGAGAGATTATAACAGTGGCATGGCGGCGTAGAGGCGGGAAGGGATAACATGGCAGTGGGAGGGAGGGAGAGGATGAAGAAGTACGAAGAAGGGAGCAAGGGAATCAGACTAAGAAGAAGAGATGGAGGAGGGTATTTGCATCATGTGCGATATGAAATCAGGTTGTAGCGGGGAGGATGAGTTGTGAAAGTGACGTGGAAGGAAATTTTGGGGATCAAGAAAGGGGAGGATAATGGAGCAGTTTTTTTGCGGCAGTGTCCTACTCGATGTGTGATATTGCAAGACTTTAGTGCTCTAGAGCCGATAATCTGACAAACCTCAGAGTGAATTCTTGGGTGTTGCTGTATTGTTGCACGTGTGTTGCGGATTTAGTTGCACCGTGGGGCATTGACGGCAGAGGAGTGTCAAGAGGCATCATGCACCTAAGACTTGAGACACTCATGAAGATATTTTGAAATGGAATGAAATAGCATCATTGTTGTGGCAGAAGGGTGCGTTTTGAATGTGTTTCAATCGCATGAATTCCTGCAAATCTAAGTTGGATTTCTGAGCTTACTGAGCGGGTGGAATGCGCATAACGGTTCGATGTTGAACAGGTCACTTCATCTCTGTCATCTCCCACACAAGATCGGAAAAAAAGGAAGAGAAGGGTTTTCTACTTTCATTATGCTCAGGTCCCAGAGAAAAGCTCCTCCAGCGCCAAAGCCATCGGTGGAGGAGTTCCTGCTTTCCTCCGTGCCAGCAGAGTGGGCGGGTCCACTCATGGTCATGCTGGTGAGCTTCATGGTGTTTGCCGGCATGTGGTTGGCCCTTGCCAAGCGACCGACGAGTCAGAGGATAGCCAAGGAGAAAAAGTTGCATCGAGCTACGGATGACCCCTACAGCTTTTACGATCCTACCAGCGGTCAAAGTCATCGATTCTTCAAGGCCGAACTTGCTACTCGCATCGTATCCACCATTCATGCTGCTCTTGTTTGCTACGGCGCTGCAATGGGCCTCTACACTCATCGCAACATGTTCCAGGACATGCTTTGGGCCACATCTCCTATCGTTCGCTTTTGGTACTCGGTGTCAATGGCGTACTTCCTTGGAGACATCTTGCTTTGTGTGGTCATGTTCCGCGAGTACGGCTTCATGTTTACTTTCCACGGCATCTGCGCTTTCGCCGCTGTCGCAATTATCTGTCTCGGGAACATGTTTCACTTCTTCGGCTGCATCGGATTCTTGTGGGAGTTCTCAACCATCTTCTTGAACTTGAGGTGGTTCATGTTGGAATATGGCTACAAGGAAACTCTTGCCTTCAAGTTGAACGGGATTGCCCTCGTGGTCTTCTTCTTCATCTTCCGCATCTTCATTGGCTGTCCATACTCCTTCATCTTCTGGTCTCAACTCTCATCAGCGCGGGCAGAAGGAAAGATCAGCGGTGGCGTGTACTTGACGATGAGTTTGATGCTCGGAGGAGTCAACAGCCTCAACATCTTCTGGGGGAAGAAGCTCATGCACGGCCTGATACGCTTGTTCCGAAAATGGGGCTCACCGGAAGCTATCAAAGAGCCCTAGAGGAGCCGCGAGCAGAAAAGTCCACACTTTGATTGAGCTTGATAGATTTTTACATCCCCGCTGCTTCTTGTCCTGTTTCACTGCGGCATCCTTGTAGGTTCCACTCGCTGGGGATTCAAGATTACAACTTGGCATGGCAGCGATTGTGTTCGGCGCGGCCTCCGATGCTGAATCGTCAAGGAACTGAACTTCTGTCGTCTTTAGACGGTTCTTGAGCAAGGATTTTCGTCGAGATAACATCTTTAACATCCACAATATCAAGTGAAGACGCTTTATTACAGTGATCACAGTACAAAATCCAAAGGTAAAAATAAAATGAGAAACGAAGCTTCGAGAAGCCAAAGTTACAGAAGAAAAAAATAAGGCATCGCTCTGATTACTGGCTACTCCTTTTCTTCTTCTTTTTCTTGGATTCCTCCTTGTCGCTGTCAGAGTCACTGTCATCGGAATCCCTGGATCTCTTCTTTTTCTTGCCTTCCTTTTCTTTTTTCTCCTTCTTCTCCGATTTGTTCTTTTTCTTCTTCTCCTTCTTGGCAAGTCGTACCTGTTCCTCATTCTCTGATTTACTCGAGCTCGCGTCGCTTTCCTCATCTGAGTCGAAGGTTTTCTTTGCCCCCTTGAAGTCCTTTCCTAACTTGGTGGGACGGTCGTTGTCAAACCCGAGACCTTTCCTTCCCTCGACCTTGTTGGCATGCGCGTCATTTGCAATTTTCTCTTGTGTCTCTTCGTTGAACTCCCAATCCTGTTTCTTGTGCTTGTGCTTGTCGTGCGACATGAAGCCTCCATGTACGAACATGTGCTTCAGTGTGCCGCTCAACACGCTCGGCTTAGGAAGGATAGGATGCTTGAGCACAACCCCAGTGGTGGAGATAACATCCTCCTCATCACAATGTGGCACCTTTTCGAGGTCGCGCTCGTGCTTGGTCTTCTTCTTCTTCTCCTTCTTCTCTTGCTTCTCCTCCTTCTCCTTGCTTTCTTTGACCTCCGTCTTTCCGTACTTCTTGATGGCATCCTTGCTGATCAGCTTCTCGTCCTCCTGCTTCGGCGGGACAGAGTAGCCAAGAATCTGACTGAGATCCGTCGAAGAGTAGCTCTTGACATCCTTGGTCTTGTTCATGAAAGCTCGCTTATACGCGTATCGCTGCTGGATCACAGCTGCTGCCGCATACGACCGCCCAGCTTTCCTGGCAGCATGTGCATCTGTACTGCTGCTGGCGGCTTTCTGCTCGAGGTCGGAATCATCGCTGTCGTCGCTATCACTGACAGCTGAGGTGTCCGAGGATTCTTTCGTCTTGCTCTTCTTCGTCTTGCTCTTCTTCTCCTCCTGCTTCTTCCCGCTCTTCTTCGAAGACTTCTTCTCTCTCCTCGATTCCTCCTCGGAATCCGAGCTATCCGACTCCGACTCCGACGAAGAGGCCTTGGACTTCTTCTTTTTCTTGACCTCTTTGCTCTTCTTCTTGGACGCCTTTGCCTTCTTCTTCGAGGACTTAACCTCGTCTTCGCTCTCGTCCGACTCCTTGTCGCTGTTGTTCACAATGACTGAGAGCTTGGAAAGAATCTCGTTGTAGCTGTTGGTCTGCACCGAGTGCGCGCCCCAGTCGTTGGTGTTTTCAGCGCCAATGCCAACTTGATCTTCTCTCTTCTTCGTCCACAGATGCTTCGTGATCCCATCGTTGTTCTTTCCGAGCCCAGCTCCTTCCTTCCATCCCATCTTCTGCACCATAGAATACGCCCAGTCCTGAGAACACCATGAGAACCAAGCAATGCCAGTTGAGCAACAAACTTACCTCACGATTGATGCCATGGAACTTCTCGGACTTGACGGTGGCAGTCGAAGTAGCAGACGGCATTCTCTTCTTCTGAGTGGCAGCAGGAAGAGACAAGAGCGGAGGAGGAGGAGGAGGAGGAGGAGGAGGAGGAGGAGGAGGAGGAGGAGGAGGAGGAGGAGGAGGAGAAGGAGGAGGAGGAGAAGGAGGAGGAGAAGGAGGAGGGGGGGTGGAAGGGAAAGAGTACGGAGGAGCAGTAGGTGCAGGAGACGCACGCGCTGCTTCTGGGACAAGGAGTTGGCTAGGCCGAAACTGATATGAAGTATTTCAACATTTAGAGGATAGTTTTGCACATTTGAGCCATCTTGGTGAATATTTGTACAGAAATAAGTGAAGATTTCCTTATTCTATCGAAAAATGGCGGGGTCCAGCAAGTCTGAAACTTTGCTCCACTATTTGGAAACTTTAGTACGGGATCCTGGAAACTCTGCCGATAAACTTTGACGCCAACGAAAAAAATCTCAAAGTTTACCAGGCACGTGCACGATGGCATCCCTCGGGTACGATCTCGGGAACTTTGGAACCTTAAAAACTTTACATTACAGAACTTCCAGTAGAAAGTTGAGAGTCACGAAATGCAAACTTCCGAAGTTCCGAATGGCGGCGGCGGCGGCGAAACCTGAGGCCAGAACTCAATTCGAGACGTTTGATAAACATCATCTTTGGTAGATACACTGAGAGGATACCGATAGCGGCCGTTGATTGTTCCTTGAGATCGTTTCCCAGTCCTACACTCCCCCCGCGCCGGTCCGGCGGCGGGAGTCACTGCCGAGCCTGCCAGTGAGAGTCTGCCGCAGTGCACTGCAGTGCCAGGCAGTCGCCCGGCGCGGCCCGGCCGCGGCGCCCCGGCTCCCTCAGTAGGCTGGCCCGGCGGCGGCCGGCGGCCGGCCGGCCAGCCGGCGGGCGGCTGACGGCCGGCGCCGGGCGGGCCCCTCCGACGGAAGCTTCGCCGTCACGGTGCGGCCATTCATCGGCCCGCCGCTTCAAGATTCAGTGGGCCCGGCGGCCGGCTTTTGCCGCCGCCCGGCCCGGCGATCTGGCTTTCAAGTTCCGGCCCGGCCCGGCCCCGGCGGGCCCACGCCACCGGTTGAACTGGCAGTTCAAGTCCGTAGTAGTGACCGGCGTGCCCCGCGGGCCGGGCACTTTCTCGGCTATCACCGGGCCGGGGCGGCAACTTGAATCCGATCCGACGATGATCGGATCACGGCGTACCCGGGGCCCGGCGCACTGCGGGCACCGGGCAGGGTGGCGTGACGGTGACTATCACACGGCCGCCCGGCACTACCGAGTCAGTAAATAAAGCCTCGGACCTAAGGCTAGTATTCAACCGAATCCTACGGTGCTCAGCCGATGTTTAACTCAGTTAACTATCATATGCCAGGACTCGAGTAAAGGGCAGTAAAAATAAACAACATCCGATCGGGCAAACGGCCAACTTGGCAATATCGGATCATTACTTCATGAGCCTCCTGGCATGGCCTCCGGGAAGTCCGATTCGGAGTCCGGGGCCAGTGGCAGTGTCTACAAGTTTCAGTCTTTACTCAAAGTTCCACAACGAGCCTTCAAACAGCACGTGCCGTCCCGCCGGATCGGACCGGCCGGGCGCAGTGACAACAAGCGGCACGTCAACCTCCACCTCACTGGCCAGAATCTATTTAACCCAAGATCCACCAAAGACTAACTCTCAGTACACCTGAGATCCTTACACCAACCTTATTCACCTCAACGATACACAGCTGTGGAGTCTCTAACACCTTCACTGATGGTGATAGAACTCTCAGGAGAACCACACAACACCGCCAACACTTCCTTTATTCACAGCAGTCACCTTCCCTTCAGTCCCTTGCAACCAAGTACAATGCACAGCGCGCAGTGGACACGTGTCCTCCTAACCCCCTCTTCACTGCCTGACCCTCAGGCTCGTCGATTCCTTAATTCCAGACCTATGTCGAAACCCACTTCCATCTCGCTGGGCTTCGTCCACCAATGAGACGCAATACCCTGAACTTCTCGCCGTCTCCAAGAACTTATCCGAGTTCTTACACCGTTGAAGGCTTTAATCCATATCCAGTGTGACTTTACGTTTCGGGCCAAAACAGTCGATACATATAACGTTATAAATGATGCCTCATATCTGTTAAGACCGGTGCTAGCCCCCTTATACTGGACCTCGTCCCTGCTTCTTGTCCTGCTCCTCTTCTGCCTCTTAGTCTGCTCCTTGTACCAAGTCTCCAAGCACATCTCCTTCTGTGCATCCCCCTGATGCTTGCTTCACAACCTTCCTCTTCCCCGCATTCTCCGACCGTTGACGTTCACGCTCGCGTACGCAAGTCAACCCCTTTCGACTCCCCCCGCCTCGTCCAGCTCAGCCTCCCCGTCCTCCAGCCTCTCTTCGCCATGCGTCAAGAGGATGCTGCTTCCTCCCTGGTACGTTATCTCCTTCTCCCTCTCTGCACACTCTCCATCTCTCTCTCGATCTCTCTCTCCATCTCCCTCTTCCTCTCCCTCTCCCTCTCCCTTTATGATTTCCCTGCCTCCTCGCCCTCGCCCTCTCCCTCTCCCTCTCCCACTAGTGTGCTGACTCAGTGACGTGTGGTGGTGGTGCAGGGCATGTCGCTGACGAGCCTAAAGAGCGCGTGCCGGCGGCTGGGGCTCAGCCGCTGGCCGTACACGAGGCATCGGGGCGAGGACAGAGACCGGGAGAGACCGTCGACGCCAAGCGCTTTCATACAAGATCTGCTACCTGATATGTCATGCCCTGCTCTGCATCGTCAAGCCGTCGGCAGCGTCCAACAGGAAGACGAGCTTTCGAGCGATACTTTCCCGCCCCTCCCGTGCCATGCACACTTGCCTTGGCAAGAGATCCTCCCACCGGCGGCCATGTTCGCGTGGGAAGAGGCCGAAAAGCGAGAAGAAGGGTACTTGGTGCCTGATGGAGAACTGTCAGGCGGCAGCTGGGATGGAGAGGGGGAAGAGGGGAGGGAGCTAGACTGGGATCTGTTGGTGAAGAACAGTAGCGTATGAGGCTCGAAACAGATGAGCACAAAGTTGTAGACGAGTAAGTACAACATGACGTAAGTAAACTTCAAGAGTCAAGTGTGACTGAAGGCTTTTTATGAAGTGAGAGCTAGATTTGTTCATGTACACCCGGCTCAGCATTGCGCAGTACGGTACTGTCACTACTTGAAGCCTCTGGATGTCACTGAGTCACGTGATGGCAGTGCACCTGCAACCTCCGAGCGGCTTGCCGCGGCGGGCCCTTATCATATCAAGATGCCAACTCGGAGCCCCCCGGCGGCATCTCATAGTCGGGCTGACTCCGCGCCGCCGCCAGTACACGGTAGTACGGGCCGCCGCTGAACGGCTGCTCACAGTTTTCCGAGGAGCCTCAGGCAGGGTCACCGTGACCCTCGTCACGGTAGCCTCACTGAAGGCCCGGGCCGCGCGGCGCTCGGCGCGGCGAGTTCCGGCCGGACTCCAGAGCAAGCCTTCGGAAGGGCCCAGCCTGCCAGCCCGGGCCGGCACTGCCGCTGTGCCGCGTCCGCCCGGCTCTGCCTTCATCCCCAGCAGCATGCGACAGTGGCCGGGCAGTGCGACGGGCAGGCACGCCGACGGTGCCCGGCCGCCGCGGCCGCGCCATTACGGTAGTACTGTGGGCCGGGCCGACCCGGCGTACGGCGACCGAGTCCGAGCCAGAAGGCCCGGGCGGCGTGGTCACCGACCGCCGCGCCGCCCGGGGAGTCGGTGCCACGGTGGTCACAGACGCCGGTCGTCGCCGGAATCAGACCACGCGCCGGGCCGGGCCAGTGACTCGCTCGGACCGCCGGACTCTTGAACGGCGAGCCTCGGAGGCGGCCCGATCGCCGGGGAGAGTCCCGCAGCCGGCCCGGCGGCCCTCAGTGGCCACCCACTGTGCCAGTGCCACGCCGGTAGGCAACAGTGGCACCGGTCACCGGTGGGATACGGGTCTGTCACAGGCATGATCATCGGATGGTCACTGTCAGTGTCGTTTACTAGTACCATCCGATGATCCGGGTGAGCGGTAGTACCGTACCGTAGTACCGCCATTATGATACCGTACTTCACTACTACTAGTGACTAGGCTGTACTAGTGTACTAGTACACGTAAGAGGACCTCTACGGCTATCATCTCTCACTGTCAGCTGACTCTCATCAGGGTCAAGTGCAGGGGTACTAGGACCCGGGGTACTACACTACTGTAGGGGGGCGGAACTGCCACTCGGATAAAAGGAGGTCAGTCGAAAGGATCAAGCAGGCTGTAGAAGATGAAGATGACGACGACGATGAAGATGAAGATGGAGATGAAGATGATGCTCCTGCTGGCGACTGTTACCATGGCAGCAGCGAGCACGTGCTACACTTACACACAAAAAGCTACGATAGGTGAGCTGATCCTACCAGCCGCGCAATGCCACCCCTTGACTCAGTCCTCTTGCTCCGCTTGCTTCCCTTGCTCCAAGTGCTATTCTTTGTAATTGCTGCTGCATGTTGCAGGAGGTTGCCCAGAGCAGACCTACCAGTATGGCAGCTGCACCTCACTAGCCGATGCGACTAGTCAGTTGAGCGCCAGAATCTCCAACTGGTCGAGCAGTCCCCCTGCAAACGATGCTGCTTGCCAGACTCAGATCAACATGCAGTGCGCAGGGTTCGGAATGGTATCCTTGTGACGTAACTCGATGCTTGCTCTGACTTCTACAAAGTCCGCTACAGGCTCCAAGTGCTCCGATCTGTGTCCTTTCCAATTCCACACTGTTCTTGGCTGCACTGAGGATTTGCAGTGCAACAGTACAAGCACGCCTGATCTCCCGATATGCTGCAAGTACCTGGGGAAGCAGGCATCGGTCATGTGCAACGGTGATTCCAGCATGATGGAGATGTCTCTAAGAAACACTGGTATGTGCAGTGACAGTAACTGCATCTCGAGAGCATCGGCGACGTTGAGTTTCTCCTTTGTCCTGCTCCTCCTCTCGTCTTTGGCAGGCCTGATGGCTGCTCGGCTGTAAAGCATGAACATCAGCGTGTAGCACTGTGAGCGATTTGGAGAAAAAAATTAAATGACAAGTGAGTTTTTGAGCCAACCTCTTCAACAACCAGCGCATTCTCCGCATTCTCAAGCAATGACAGCCTAGGGCACATTGACCCAGTCTGAGTGCCCTCATCGGAGGCGAAAATCATGCGTATCGACAGGGCAATCTCAAACGCCAGCAGTGCAAGAGGAAGGGGACAATGACAGGACTGATGACGCTGACTCTCTGCCTAGAAACTTGCAGCAGACATGCTGCTAAGTTTTACTCAACCATGGCTGTATGAGGAGTGAAAGTAAAAAACGTTTCATGACATCGATCGGGTCCAGCTGTGATCGTCTCCGCCGACATCAGCAGCAAGCTCGCGCCAGAATTCCTTGTCATGCTGCTCACGGAGAAGGAGTTTCTGTGAAGAAAGTGAGGCAGAGCCCTGACTTGGAGTAGTGACGAAGATGGCGGGGGAAGAAGAGCCGAACACGCAAACTCGGAAGAGGAAGCGACCAAAAACATGGAGAACAGGCAGGCAGGAGGGGAGAAAGCTGGGGATGCCAGTGGGGAGGCGCAGAAGGAAATTTCCGAGGATGGGATTACCTTAAGGGGGAAAGAATGAACGCTGGTGTCAATGAAGGAATTCTCCTCCACATGCTTGGGAAGCAGTGTCTCCACCACCATTTCTTCCCCTAATTTCTCCACACAGCATGATGTTCTGACATCTGTTGAAAGATTCCTCATCCGATAAGCCCCGAAGCTGTTCCCAATCACAACAAGCCTCGAAAGGTTCCCTGGCCCCCAGTTTGCCCTTAGGACGTTGCTGTACAGTCTTCGACCGCAATGCGGCATGAAGAACAGCGAGTCTGAGTCAGTTGTACACAGGCCAACCTCATCCTCTTGTGGGATTGTGAACCCCAACGACTCGGCGGCCTGTCGCTCAGCTCCGGTCATGACCGGATCAAAGAGCGAGGAGGAAGGGGGATGAAGAAAATCTTTCAGCAGCAGAGCAAGTGAAATCTGCAGCAAGGACGACGCACTGACGCTGAAATTTCCGATGCCATAACAAACCATCCTCGAAATCTTCGTCCTTTCACCTTCACCTTCCATGTGCGCTAGATTGCCTGCTATGCTCGACCCTTGACGAACATTCTCTGCTTCTCTATCACCACCCGAAGCCTGCATACCGTCCATGACTCTCTTGACATGATCGCAAACAATCATCTTCACTTCTTGAAACCATGTTGAACCTTTCATGTCGCCCATACACTTGTCAATCAAGGTGAGGATTTGTGACTGCGTCATATCACTGTCAACCCTTCCATGCATGAGAATGCCGATAGCCTTATCGGCATTCTTCCTTCTCTTTGCTGCTGACCGTCGGCTGTTCTTGGTCACAAGGGTGAAACCATCTTCCAGCTTCTCACTCATGCAGACTGAAGATGCGATCTCAGATCTCAGATCTCAGATCTATAGGAGAAGCGCCCCCCCTGTTGCTAACCTCAACTTGCTCTCGACAGCTCACGTCGTCTAGCAGCTGCAGCTGCCATGTGCTCTCCCTCGTTCCTGGCTTTCCTTCCTCTCCTCTTCCCCTTGGCTCTCCTCACCATCCCTCTAGCTCTGTCTACTTCACTTCGCTAGTCCCTCAAGTTCTCTGTGCATCACGGGTTGACTACCCCCCACCCCTTCGTCTCCGCCCCCTTTCTGTGTATCTACCCCAGCATTACAGATCCTTCACCCTAGATTTATGAGGTACTACCTACCGGGTGATGGGGACTACCCCCCGGTTCTTGAGGCTTTTTCGCTGGCGGCCGTGGAAGGTGGACATGGCTTGCATGGCAAGAGGGGAAGGAGAGTCAAGGAAGGAGCAAGGGGACAATGGTGGAAAGAGGAGGGAAACCACAAGTAAATGCAGACTGTGAGCGATGAGCTGAGATGATGCAAACATCCGAACATCCGAGGTTGTTTCAGACTCGAATCAATCACTCGTTTGTTGCAGGTTCAATAATCGTACTTCCGAATGCTCGGCTACACAAAGACGATTATGAGAGGACTTTGAAGTCTCTGGCCCATTTTCTTAGCAAAGGAATTTCAACCAAGTAAGTTGTGTCAACCTCTCTTGCATACCCTGTTCTCAATCTTCTACGATCAGATGATCCCTGCCTTGCCATCCGTGGTTACTTGGCAGCAAGGGGGGAGGGGCTTTGTCATTGTTTCCACAACATCTTGGAAATCGATGCCATCTGTTGTTACCTGGACAGTTGCAAAGGATGTGTGTACTTTACGTGATAGCTGATGTCTGAGATGACGGCTTGATGGAAACAGGCGATACACGTTGAATTCTTGCTAGCAACAAGTGTTCCTGATCAACGCAGTATCTCGAAGAGAACCGTGAGTTGGAAGTTCAATGAGGTAAGATGGACCTTTGAATTGCGTTAGAGTGATGCTGTCATGTTCAGGAAATCGTCATCAAAATTTTATCCATCACATCAGTATGGGCGAGGATTCGCAGCAGATGTGTTTGTCGAGATTGGAAAAGGTGGGTACAAGACAGCGCGTGCAAGCTTGAAGTCAACATGATGCTAAGTTTCGATGACTATCTTACTGATTTTAACGATCATATCACTCATTGCATATGCCAGTTCACCATCCTGATATGTTTCCACCCTTCCCCTCTCTGACCATCCTTCCCCACTTTCGGACCTCCTGCCGCTGATTCTACATGCCAGGTTTGCTGACGACCCGCACGCATGGGAGTATGCATATTTCTCCTCGGCATCTGGGCGGTGGACGAGGGAAGGGACGTGGGAGGAGGATGAAACGGGTCGTTGTTCAGCAGCTCAAGGAAGACTTGAGGTGGATCTACATCATTTGTGCGTTATGGACAGGGAGGAAGTGTTTTCGAGGGGAATACGGCAGGTTGCGAACCGTTGCTTCTCCAGTACCAAGGTGAGGAGCTTGCAGAATGGGATCTTCTGTCTCTGACGCCCAGGATGAGGGGTTGTCGCTTCCTGCAATGTCTACACATGACTTGGAGGACATCCTGCGATCATCCCCCTCCCTGCAGCACCTTCACATTGACAAGGTGCGATCCTTGTTCTCACCTTCGTGAAATGACACAGGAGGAAATGTAGAGAGATCATGAGAGTTCTTGCAACGACAACACTCTCGTAGCGATTGCACGGACTTGCAAGAACCTCACGTCGTTGAAACATCACCTTCCAGCTCTACACTTTGATCCTGATGAGAGGTATCATCGATCCAGCCTGAGGTTCCCGAAGCCTTGAAACATCCGCAAGTGACTGTTTCCCGCAGGCTCCTCTGCAAGAGCAACTCGTTAAGATTCCTTGACTTCTCCTCCTCCGACAAAAACAACGAGATCGCCGTTCACAGGCTGATAGACGCTCTGTATCACGTCAGTGCTATCTCGCACCTCAGTCTCAGGTCAGTCAGACTGACCCAGTAGCGAGCTCATGAATTTATCTATGGTGCAGAAACTGTGCAAATGTCGATGATAGAATCATCAAGCCGCTTATGGAACGGTGTGGCGGAGCTCTGACTCAGGCTGCTCTCAAGTAATGCTGTCCAACAGGAGGATCGAGTTCTTGGATGTGCGAGGAACAAAGGCAAACGATCACATCCGTCATGCCGCGTGATCCAACCGTATGTTGACATCGTTGTTGCTGCAGGTGACCATTAGAGCTCTGGAGAAACTTAGGAGCACATGTTCAACTGTCGACAAGCCTCGGATCCTCGTCGACCCGGAGTCCTTGGACACAGTCGCATCGCCGTTCTAGGTCGGACAGTCGGACTACCTTTGCAAGCCAATCGCTCAGCGCGGCGCTAGGGCCGTAGCCTGGCCACGGTAGCCCACACCTGACTCGTAGAACATGCATGACGATCGTCCGATCACTGCAAGCTCAGGCCTCGCACCACACTGCCACTCGAGGTTGGACCTTCGCCTACCCTCCTTGCCGCTGCTTAGCCCTCCTTTGACGCGGCGAGATCACAAGATAAGATATCAAAGCTCGCTACTTCTGTCTGCTTCCCCTGATGCCTCTTCCCCCATCCCTACTCCTCTAGCGCCCCGCCGTCCTCGACAGAGTTGATTCGAAAATCCTCGATGCTACTCCCAGCTTCACCTTCTACGCTCAAAAGGCAGCCCCTCATGTTGGGAGCGCATGCCCCATCACTTCAAGCAGCCTCCTCCGAACGCCTGCATACCCTCCTACAGCAAGCTTGTGGCCATGTGCTTGCTCGCAGGCGCTCAGCTCTTCCATGAGCTTGCAAGGACATAGAAGCTTCTCTCGTCCAATTTGTTGCAGAGAGCACAAGTCAACCCCTGGGGTAGGGGGTCTTAGTACCCTACCCCAAGGTTTACTACATAGGTACAGGGTGGGAGGGACTACCCTCACTTTTCCCTCACTTTTCCATCACTCTACCATCACACTACCCCCAATCCCTAACTTTGGTTACCCCCTACCCCAGACACCTAAAGCCCCACCCCTACCTTCGAAAGAACCATGCACTGAAGCTTGAGCGCACGACGAAGGGCAGGGAGCAAGGTAGCCGGGAGCAACCAAGAGAAGGGAAGAGAAGGAGGAGGAGGAGAACATATCCAACGAGTCTAGGATAGCCCAAGAGCTTGGGAAGAGCATCTGAAAGAGAGCGGGTGGACTTGTTGCTGGTACGCACGGGGGGCTGGCGGGATCATGGGACGCAAGGGGCTGTGCCTGAACGCTTGACGATCCATGTCATTGACCGGATAAATATCGACTGAGATAGGACAGATCAACTTGAGCTGAAGACAACATGACGAAGACGGATATGTGCATCGGAAAATCAGCCTTTCGGAAGGACGATGAGCGAGTGAAAAGGGAAGGGCGCATTTCAAGCTTGTTGGCAAGCAAGACAGGACGTGCTGGCTGGCAGTGGGTCAAGTATGGTATCATCTTTTGCATCTGGTGTCTTGGCACAGCGGAACGTGCATGTGCGCTGTCGCTGGATCCGAGGGACATGGCGACGGCAAGCGCCATGAGGAGAAGAATGGGCTACGAAGCAGGGTTCACCTTAACATTGGGGTTTGTGAATCGCGGAGGGTCTGTACGGGATGGCAAGACAAGTCACTCCAGTCCGATCTGCTACTTCGTTCATCGATCGCCTTCACAGAGCTCGATGGAAGGGAGGAATGCCCTAGAGAGGTACATGGCGATAAGAAGCAGGTCGCCTTTGAAAGCAGACCGTGAGCGAAGTATGCGTCAGAACCGCTGCTTGAAGGCGATTCATCAAGAGGACTCGAGGTCAGGGGTGGCAAGGAGGGATGAGAGGAGAGTCAGGAAGCTGAAGATCAGTGGATCTGTTTCCGACACGGTCAGTGCAGAAAACATTGTGTTTTGTTTTGTAGTTACCATGTATTGATGATGATGGTGAGTCTTTTGTGATGGAGACAGTTGAAAATTTACATATTCAATATATGATATTGATGATGTATTATTGTAAGATCAAAACGATGTTGGTGGTGATGATGAAATAGTGACGATGCAAACCGTGGTAGTAACAATTTTGGCAGTCCTTGGATAAGATTTCGAGGACGAAGTTTTCGAATATTTCAGCTCCAACCACCACCACATATCAATCTCTCGTTGCAATCAAGGAAGCCATTGACGTCGCTGCTGGATGGAAGACTCCCGACCTGAGCGGGACTCAGGTGAAGCAGTTCGAAAGTCTGCGGCCAGTCAGTGACAAGTTGTATTCCAGCTCGTGAGGAGGCAGAGGCAGAAGAATTGGGATTTGACAGGGGAGCCTTTTCGAAGAGTGACATCGAATGAAATAAGGAAGAAAAATCTTGATCCGATTAAGGATTTGAATGTCACCGGAAGCTCATGGGTAAAATCTCCCAACCTTGCCAGCCGGAATTCGTTTTCAAGGTAAGAGTTGTATTGAAGTGCCTGTTAGCTATTGTGAAGATGGTTATGATGTTGATTTCTTGTGATTGCATGATGCTTGCGACGGTGCCAAGGTAAAGCATCAGATCTTCACTCGATTCCCAGGGAGTTAGTGGAAAGCAGCTCGGAGGAATCATCCACCGAGATCAATCACGTCCTTGATATTCAGAGAACTCTTCTGAATTGCGGGCTTTTTGTTAGCACCATCGCGGGATGGAAGGTGTCTCTATTCCTTCGTTGCTGCCTTACTTCTCCTTCTCCTCCTCCTCCTCACGCTCACCATTTCTCGGGGACTTTGGTTTCGCTTTCTCTTCTGTACCAATCTTTCTCCTTACCTCTTCCCTAATCACCTCGCTATTTCCGTCGGTGTGATTTTGTTGCCCATGAAAATCCCCCGCAATGTATTGAACGCATCTGACGAAGAGGAAAAAGTCCTTGTGGGACCTTCAGGATCAGAACGGGCTGAGTTGGTACACATCGGTGGGAATAGGAATCTGCATGTACATCTTTCGGTGACTTTAACCTTATCATTTTCGTCCTCTCTCCTCTGATTTGGGAGCAGGTACAAGGTCGATGACATCTTGGACACCCATGACGTTCACAGTGAAGATTGGTTCGAGTTGTTTTCAAGACTGCCAGGTTTGTTGTCATGGGGCTGAGAAAGAAGAAGTTTGACAAGCGCGAAAGAACCGTCGTTTAAGTCTATCGCCGAGTATGGAAAGATCTACTTGAGCTCGGCCCTTGTGTTTGTAAGCAGGTGTGTCCTTCTTCCCTCCTCCCTCCTCCCTCCTCCCTCCTCCCTCCTCCCCTGCTGCCTCCTTTCCTCATCTTATCGCGCAATTCCTTGGATGTACATGGTCTTGAGCTGACTGATGTGCTCTCTTCCAGCTTGTTCATATGGCGAGGGATATGGGCGGGGATAGACGACACCCAGATCTCATGGCAGGTACGCAGGAGGAGCAGCAGGAGAGGGGTGAGGATGAGGCTGACGCTGAAGCAGGTCTGCCTGGTGATTGGCACGATATCCTACATGCTGCTCAGCGTCATGCAGCTTCAGGTGCATCCTTGCGCTGCCTCCCCAGCTAGCCATGCTGAAAGTGTTTGCCATCTCAGCTGGAGAGAAGGAGGTTCGACGAAGGAGACACAGGTGTGGAGGAGTTAGACCAGGATGGAAAGGATGGACGAAGAGGGAGGAAGGGGGCAGTAGATAGTCTGAGTACGACGGTTGGAGGGAGCAAGGCAGGGAAGTGGCAGGAAAGCTCCTCAAGTCCTGGCAGGGTCAAGGTCGACTTCACTCTTCACTGAGCGTCATGGTATCATGGGGCGCGTCGACTTCTTCCCCGAAGGTCCCGTCCTCGTTGCTGACCACTCCCCTATCACTCCCTTATCCTAAGCTCACCTCCCCTCCCTGCTTCTTGTAGATGCCGCGCATGTCCGCCTGACTCTCTATAACTATCCAGCTTCCTTTCGCAACATAGACCTTCCGGGTGCCACGCGAGCTCTTTCAGAATCTTCGA